TTATACAAAGATTTTAAGAATGAGATTGATGAATTCCTCAATATATCATATCTGCTGATAGATTATACAGATTCAGATTGAGTAGAATTGTTGAATAATGAATGTAAATCTATTTTAAACTTCATATTCAAATTAGTAAATACATCAATTTTATAATGTTCATTCAAACAATCTTGTGTTTTCTTTAAGTTCAAATGAGGTAGAATATGTGGCACTTAGTAAAGCAGTACACAAAACAATGTGATTGTGTAATATAATGATAGAATTAAAATTCATTACAGTAAAGAATTTCTTGTCTATCAGAGCAGATAACAAAGATTCAATCAATTGAATTATTGTTGTCATTATCACAGCACGCAATAAGCATATTGACACTCACTTTCATTATTCTCATATACAATTGAATGAAGATGTTATTTCTATTGAACACATTTCCACTGAGAATATGATAGATGAATTAACCAAATCTCTGAGCACAGTGACATTTAAACATTTCATTGATTTACTACAACTTTTCACTGATAACAGTGAGAATGATTAAATTTCTGTATGTAGCATGATTTTGGGATGATCCAAGTTGAGATAGCTAGCATGGAAGATTTGTAAGAACACATCATGCACGTTGGCGCGTGGGGGGGTGTTGGGCACTAGTTGCCCAGGCGGCCCTTTACCGCACGTGATTACCCCTATATATATAGTTATGTAGCTAGCGATCGCACAATGAGAAGATTAACCATCCCACAGTTACCCAGAAATAGATTAATTGACATAGGTTGATTTGACTGTGCTGAATAACCTGTACATATTTTAAACATAGAGTACCAGTTGCAGATCTTTCAATGATCTATGACTTTTGACTGAAATACTCTGTAGGTACAAACCTTAGCAGGTTCTGTGGCAGGCAAACCAGTACACTTTCCAACCTATGCCGGCTGTTATGTATGCTAGTTTATCCCCCTCCAGGTAAACAATTCAATGTCGGCTATTCGGACGTAAATCCAGTCACCCGTCGTCAATCCAGCAGTCACCCGTCAATCCAGTCCTCCGATTGGTGGTATACAAGGCAAAAAGGTAAAAAGGCAGCCTAGCACACTCTAGACCCATAAATTTTCCCCGTGAGAGAATCTCTCAAGGCTCGTCGATGAAGCAACCGCGGTTTCCACTGCCACGAGGCCACTGGTGCAGCAACTGGCACCTCCAAAACCACTGGATCCCTCACGGCCAAGCTCGCTGCTCCAACCTCCACCCCGAAGATGCACCACCTGGCCGTTAAGCAAAAACCTTGCAGCTCAGCACCGCGTCCATGGGAGGCCCGCTCCCGCCTCCGAGACATCCTTGCCAGTGCAAATTCTGTGAAACGCCAGAACAATATTGGAGTTGGCAGAAGAGTGTGGATGTGAGTGCAATGGGAAAAAATTTACCCCCGCAGGTGATGTATAGGGCTTGCCGGCGTTCCTATATCAGACGAGGATAAGGATGATGGGCGTAATGGTCGAGGGGCGTAGTGGAAGACGAGCGTAATGGTGGATGACGGGCGGATAGGGTGACGGGCGTAGTAGTCGACGGGCGGAGTGGATGATGGGCGTAATGGTCGGGTGGATGACGGGCGGATAGGATGACGGGCGTAATGGTCGAGGGGGGTAATGGGCGACTGGCGTAATGGGGCGACGGGATGACGGGTGGATGACGGGCGTATAGTAATATGCGGATACAGAGAGGGTTGATTGATTGATTGATTGATTGATTTATTCATAGACTGTCCCAGCCGCCCAGGCAGCTATGCAGCGCACTACTATATTGCCTGATGAGTGATGGGGAGTTGACAATGTAGAAGCGTTGTCCTAGTATGCGTAGGGTATATATATTGGGAAATTATATTTGTCTCTGTGGACAGGAAAAGGTTTGTAAGTTTTAACAGGGTCAGCACTCGAAATCACAATGCAGGATGTTGCCTGCCCAATGAACAGGAAGTAGCTCACCTGACCTCCACCACAAACTTTTTGCATGCCCAGAATTGAGGCCAACAGTGGGCTTATGAATGGTATGGAAAGCCTCCATCATGGGCGGTTCTTTCGCGTCTTGCGTAAAATGAAGCACCGCGGAACAGGAAATCATATGCTCTAAGCACAAAGCTCAAGGCCAGCACCAAAGGGAAAAGGCCTCGTGGAAGGATCAATTCCGGCTTC